TAAAACTCAGAGCAGCTCTTTTATCCTTTTGGTATTGTTACTGTCTGCATTGACGATTAAGTTGTGATGTGCGCGTAACATTTAGACATGTTCAACTTTTTCCGCTAGATATATTAAATAAGAACAAAGAAAAACCTTACGATTAGATTTCAAATAATATGGTGCTAACCTGTAGCCAGAGGAAGAAGTAAGGCGAGAAAAGCTATGCGGAAACAAAGCTCAAGATCGAATTGCGACATGTTTTGACCGACACTGTCACGAAATACCGCACGATTGTTTTGCATGACCAGCTATTTGTAACAAAAAGCTCATCCGACAAAAAGTGTCTTTGTTTCCTCGCTATTCAAGCTCGATTTTGCATAATTTGTAGCATATCGTCATAACATGTAAATTTGGAGTTTTCAATCCGGTTATGCTAATTTCAGGCTAAATGATGTCACATTTAGTTCTTTGCAGAATCTATAGTTGTTACAGAAGTGTACGCGTCTGTTTGTTCGTCAGTTTGATTTTCACCTTTTGATGCTTTGCTGCGCTCTCCAGGGTTATCAGCAGTTAAGGTAAAAACTGCCTCTTTACAAAAGCTCTTCCAAAGCGAATTTTTAACGGTTTCTTATATTAAATGTGAGCTAGAATGTATCGTTCTTTGTTTACCTCGTCCCTTCCCGCGTAATCTCATATGTTATTTAAAATTGTACTTCAGCTGTTCTTCTAGAACTTCAGCTGCTTGAATTAAATTAAGTCTGCTCTCTCTGACTGGTAATCGGCCTTTATTGTTTTCATGCGCTCGAATTTTCGAAAAGCGAAAAGAACTGCCGCGGTACTTGTTTGATATTTTGAAAACAGGAGTAACAATATGGAGAAGAGCTGGTTACATCTACCAACGTAGGAAATTATTTATTTTTCTAAAATCTTTTGTGACCTAAAATTGTTATCTATATTCACCATTTTGTTCTTTACACATTTCCTACAGGGCTGACAATGAGAATTTTGCTGAAGAATCACTGAGCTTCTTCAGCTACCGCTCATCTCCTTTATTCTGACGAGCTAAAGGTTTGTTTAAGCGATAATACAGTAAGGAGAAATTAGACTCCAGTCTCTTTTAGGGCTATTCCACAGTCACCGATGACCACCCCTCTCAAGACTACGTAAATGCAGTGGTTTCTTTTTTCCTTTGTTAAGCCTAGTTTTATTTTACCTCTTTTTCACTTTGTTCTCTATTGTCCAGTGATAGTGACGTCTGCTGATAATGTCCACAGCACAGCTGGGAGATCGTCCTCAAAGTTTCACTTTTGCCCTCTAAGCTTCGCCCCTCTCTCAAATATTCATTATTCAAACGAAACAGTAACTCACCCGCAGACGTTATCAGTCGATCTACCAGCTGCCTGTAGGAGTTTCTTTAATAAAATGACCTCGCCAAAGCAAATTTAGAAAACTGGGTCTTTAACACTTTCTTGGAGCAAGGAAAAGTTTACTTTTGTGTAACGGTACAGTTTCAGGAGTGAAATACGGGAACGTAATGGCTGAGTGAGCTGATTTATGCTGGAATTGGCATAATCCATAGTGCGTAATCCTTACCTCATTATGTATACAATTCTTTGACGAAAAACAACAGAACATATTTCCGACTAACTTTGTCTCAGAATAGTGCCGGATAAAATGGAAATCTCTGCACTAAATTGTATAGCTAACATTACTGAAAAAATATATAGGACAGGTAGAGTCATTTCCAAGAGTCCTTTAACTTGAAATTGAAGCAAATGCTACCACCTGATAGCTCTACAGAAACATAGTTGATTCAGACTCTCTGTCTGTTTGCTGAATAATATAAAGTTAAAACTGACTTTTGTAAGTTTCTCTTTGCTTCCTCACTGGGCAAGTTACAAATGCATAATAGGTTTTAACTTTCCGGTTAGTTGTAAGGTTATATTTTCATGAAAAATATGCGAAAACCGGGGTAGCTCTCCTATCTTTTTGGTATTGATGCTGTATGCATTGGCAAATAAGTTACGTCGATGTGCAGAACTCTTAGGACCGGTTATTTAAGCAAAGTTTAGCCGTTTTTTGACAAAACCGCGTTCAATGTTATCTTCATTAAAGCCGAACCTTTTATATGAACATTTATATTTCCTGAACAGTGACAAGAGGGCCGAAAACTAACAGTCGAAGGACATTTATCTCGTCACTGAGTCAACTCTTTAACAGAGAGTAAGTGAAGCCCATTACTTAGGGAAAACCGCGGTATGGGTTAGACCTCGTTTGAATAACAAGCGTTTAGGCTTCACGACCCAAAAGTGAAGGATGTATACAACCAATTTCGCTAAATTTGATAATTAAAGTGAAAGAAAACGTTGTTGATGCTGTCTGCATCGGCGATTAAGTTGCGATGGGGTGCGGAAGTCTTAGGCTTTAGAACTCAAAGATGAAAGATATATCGAACCAATTCCGCTTCATTTAGTCATTAAAATGGTAAATATAAGTTACGGGTAGATTTAAAATTATATGGTTCTCACCTGAACTCAGAGGAAGAAGTACAGCGAGAAAAGCTGCACGGAAACAAAGCAGCTCGAGATTTAATTGCGCCATGTTTCGATTGAGTATGTCACGGTAGACGATCACGATTGTTTTGCCATTTGAATAGAAAGTTCATCTAACAAAAGATGTCTTTACATATGATGCACGATCATCGCAGTAGATAGCGCTATTCAAGCAATAGCGAAAATCAGACCTGAAAAAAATCAGGCCTGTATGTCTTTGTTTCCCACGATTGAAGCTCGCCTTTGTGTAATTTATAAACATATCGTCAATACATGTAAATTTGTGGTTGTCAGTCAGTTCATGCTAATTCTTGAATGACGATATAATTAGCTCTCTGTTCTCTCTCGGTTTGTTCGGCAGTTCGAATTTCAACCTTTAATGCTAAGGATGTGGCGGTAATATTTATATTATTGGGATTTCCAAGTACTCTTTATAACAGAACCACCACAGAACCGCGCTCTGATTAGTCGATTCAGTGTCTATTTTTGGCCCATGGGTGTTTGCTGCTAACGTGAGCAGATGCATTGACTAGTCATCGATATATGCGTTATTGACGAAGCGCGAGGTCAAGAGCGCTGGATATTGGCCGAGCTTTTTCTTTGGTGCCGGTGGTATATTGGTCTCCTCTCAGCAGAAGGAAAAAGAAAATGGTTGAAAACCTGAAATCACTTACATATTTTTCCGAGGTGTACTGCATACGTTTCATCTGTAATCAAGATAAGTCTCAGGAGCCGGCCGGGTAAGACTTGAATCGACCGTGGGTTCTTCCATCTAATTCATCGGGTATCGGATGCCGCAGCACAAGCAAAATGTCTAGGCAGTCTTATTCACAAGACATCAATCAACAAAAGAATGTCAAGCTACTTCGATATTCTGATTGGTTGCCTTATTAACATCTAAAGCTGTGTAACTGGACGTAAACAAAAACGTACATTTTCCTCGTATAAACATTGGCTAAATCCATTCCTGAAAAAACGGCGGCAAAGAAGCGATCTTGTCTCTTCGAATTCAAAATCGTTTTCTTAGACGTCGAAAAGACCGTTCGCCACAATCTTTCTTGTAGCAACTTTCAATGTTTGCCCCCTGACGACCTCAGAGACGCTTGCGAAAACACGAGCATCCGCGAGATGTGAAAGAGAGGATTGTAGTTGCCTTTCATATCACTTTATGCCCTGGATGTTTGTAAATACGTGAAAGTCGGTGTCGCAAAATCTTGCTGTCATGTACTCAGTACTCATCTTCTGACAATGTCGTTGAGTCTGAAACTTTGTAAAATGGTTCAATGTATCTTTGAGATCGCGAGCAGTTTAATTAGCAGCAAACAGTTGTAGGCTTACATGTAGGTTTGTTTGTAATTTTAGGTTTCAAGTTTTCTTCAGTGGTTGTGTAGCAGTTGTCTTCTGCTTTCTTCAGCCCTATTAATTCAGGTTTTTTCAACCATTCGTGAGTAATTTGTGGTATTCACCCTCTTTTAATCCTCAGACCATTTGTAGAGGTTGTCTTGAGGCATTGTGGCCTGGTATTCGTGCATGTGTGGTGTTGTAGCGGTCCCTTCTTAATCTTCCTTAGCAATTATTTACTTAAGTAGTACAATAATGCACTCAAGAGTTTACCAGCAATGTTCTACCAACTGTCTTAAAGTTTTAATTCATAAGCAGTCACCAAATTGTTGTCTTCAAACAGCGGTGTTGCTATCAAGCCCAGTGACATCTCTTCTTAATGCTATGGTATTCTTAATGGTCAAGGTAGTTACTCAGGTCCAGCAGAGCCTCTCTTTGTGTAGAACAATTTGAATCCTGTAATAACTCCTGTAATTTCTGGATTCTGTTGGTGGTAAATGCCAGGATGCTGTTATAATTTTAGAAGTAACAAGGCTCGCAATGGAGCTGCAACTGTATAAATGAAGTACTAAGTGCCTGACTGGTTCTGTTAGATGTTAATACCAAAAAATGAACCCTCTGAAAATTGTCTGGTTCCCTGAACCTGTGGCTTCAGAGCATATTTAGCAGTAGCACCCATCTGGTATCTAGGAGGCATGGGTTCAAATCCCAGTGAACCTGAACTTTTTCCTGGCTTCTTTTCTGAAATTGCTTGAAATTGTAGCCCACCAGGGAAAATCATTCTTTGTTTGATTTTATCTGCAGGTGCAATTAATCTTATTTCATAAGAAATTGTGATAATTTTTCTCTTTCACCTTCACCTATCACATACCAGCTTTCTTTGTTCTCTCTACCTCAAGTGGGCTCTTTGGTCCATTACCTTTGGAAGTGTATGTGAAGACTTGAAATTCATATTCTGCATACTCATCAGGCCCAGTGACATTTCTACTTAATGTTGATCCAAATGTTGTATTCAAATTTGTTGCTGACCCACCAAAACTTTTCTTTTTGTAGAACAGTATAAGCCCCGCTATGGTTCTTCCATGCCTGGAAAATACTGGTGGCATTACTGCCAGGAAGCTGTAATGCGAAGAAGTTCTGCCCAGCGAAGAAGGTGCCCAATGTGTAGAGTTCTTGAGCAAGAAATACGACGACTTCCATCTCTTTAGCGGCATGGCCAAAGACGAACTCCAGCGACTAAGCACCAAACTCGAAGAGCTGAAAGCCAAGGTAGATATTATTGGAAATGCTATTGACGAAATTCAAGAACATAGTTTCCAGTATAATGTAAAAATTGTGGGAGTGCCTGAGAGGCTGCAAGATGAATCCGCAGCCTCGATAAGCAAGCTTTGCCTAAACATTTTTAAAGAAACGGGAGCTGATCTATCGATGTATGACATCGACACCGCCCATCGTGTTCCCAGCAGGAATAACAATGGAAAGCCAAAGCCGATAGTTTGTAGATTTGTCAGGCGTTTAGCCAAAGAAAGCGTCATGAATCATCGTAAAGATGCATGCAAATTGGACCCGGCTTCCGTTGGACTCCCTGAGGATGCCTCGTTAAGCGCGGTTAGAATTTTTGATCATTTGTCACCCCGAATGCAAACAGTCCTGTTCGAGGCGAAGAAGTTTAAAGAACAGCATTATTACCAGTACTGTTGGTCAAAGGGCTCCTTTGTTTATTTACGGAAAGATGCTACGTCTCGAGCTATCAAGATCAAGAATATTGGTGATTTGCTCAACCTGGAAAACGGAGACCAAAGCTAAGTATATATCTTGTAATAACAACTCTCAATGGTAGTCCTAAGTGACAGATATGTTTGCCGAGCAAACAAATCTTTATTAAAAAACCTTCCGTTCTCAAATGTTGATATCATCCGAACGCATGGTCAGTTCAATAATAGCCTGAACAGTAACTTGCCAACGAAAAAGTACTTAGATAAGCTCCGTAGCCTCCATGAATTAGATATTTTTAGTTTGAATACTCAAAGTAGTGTCAATCCTGATAGCAACCTAAATAATCAACAAATTCGAAGCCGATATTTCTCACCACATAGCTTTTGCAAGTTTAAAAACGATCTCATGCGAGATGAAAACAAAACATCTTTCTCAATTCTACATAATAATGTACGAAGCCTTCG